CTATCTATCACACACACACACACACACACACACACACACACACGCACACAGGCACACACCCACCCACTGTGTTTGTGTGTATGTGTGTGTGCTTGCGTCCGTTCGTGCGTGCATGGGTTGTGATGTTCGCTATGCACTACTCCACAAAAAGAGCATGACTGAGCCAGACTGTTTCGCCGGACTTTCACCGACTCATCAGGAGGTTGAACCCCGACAGTGTGCCCACGATGCATGTGTGTGTGTGTGTGTGTGTGTGTGTGTGTGTGTGTGTGTGTGTGTGTGTGTGTGTGTGTGTGTGTGTTTGTGCATCCGTTCTATACACAGCTCCACAAAAGAAGGCAGTACGGGCAAGCGCTCAACCCAACGGGCCGTTGTACTCGATTACGGCGAGGGCGCCGCCGTGCAAAGGGCCAATGCCCAACAGGTACCGGGCGTTTCTTTCCCTACGGCTCGTCCAGGCCCTCTTCTCAACAGGTACGACGATCCAGGCCATCCGCGGTCCTACCGGCCCGACGGTTCAGATCATTGCGCGATCTTAGCCTTGACGATCGCGCGACGATCTGCACTGTCGGTCGGTAGGACCGCGGACAGCCTGGATCGTCGTGCAATCTTAAAGTCTTAAGAATACGTGACAATTTGAACCATTGGGCCGGTAAGACCACGAACGGCCCGGCTGAATGCTCACATTAGCGATATAAGTGTAGGGAAGACCACGCGACGATCCAGGTTTTCCGACCTTTCGGACGGCCTGGATCATCACGCAATCTTAAAATTAAAGATCACGTGACGATCTGAACCTAGGACCGTGCACAGCCTGGATCGTTGCACGATTTTGAAGTCTAAGGATTGCGTGACAATCGGGCCGGTAGGACCGCGAACGGCCTGGATCCCCGAATTCTCACATTAGTGATTTCTATAAGTGTAGGGATAGAAGACAATAGAAAGCTTCCTGAATGAACCTTCTTCGACCATCATAGTAACATTGTGCACATGCATAAAGGACAGTTCAATTCATAAAAAAAGTTGGAATTGCAAAGGTAAAGAACATTTAATGATTTAACCACAAAAGTGCTATGCTCCTTAATTCACCTGCATTCGTTCCGGAATGTCAATGCACCGTATCTTCATGTCTTTCTCTGTGAGGAATTTCTCTTCAACCATGGAGGGATCAAAGCGCTTGGCGACAGCCTTCAGGCTTTTCCTCATATTTCTTTCTCGCTCTGCTGCACTATCTTCTTCACCCATGCTATCTTCTTCTTCATAGCTTTCAGACACCTCTCCCATTGTCTTCCGGTTTTGCAACATGCTGTCAACGTCGCCGAAAATCTCTTGTGCTTCTTGAAGAGCAGTCGCCGAAATTCCAGCTACCCGGCCAAAGCTGCTTCCCTTCGATTTTCTACGTCGCCTATTGTGTTGGGGTCATTTAAAAAAAAAAAAAGCATACAGAAAAATGTAAACAACATAGACATTTGTCGTAAGAAACCCTTGCGCTTGTCAATCCAACCTGAAAACATGATGATGGTCATGATGCAAGCTGTAGGCTTTTTCTACCTTGAGCCGAACTTTCACATTGCACGTGCACTTTCACCTTCATGTACGTGCGATGAGTACACTGTCAGGGTTTAGTACTTATCATTTAAAGTTCGGGGTTAAGAGTTTAGGGCTCAGTGTTCCGGTTTTAGGGTTTATGGCTTAGAGTTTGAGTTTCGGGTTCAGGAGCAAACAGGAAAACGATTTCAAAAAGGGTCATAAGCACATACACAGGCTGGCCGTCCTCATCAAAAGCTTGTTCTTCCACAATGAAATCCGCCATCTCATCGTCCTCTTCATCAGGAAGCAACTCCTCTTCCTCCTCCTCCTCTGTTGGCTGCTCATCCTCCCCGATTGCATCTGCAACACCTGTCAATCCATATATATGCACCAGAAAGTCCACGCTTACATTCTTTGCTGCCATGCTACGAATACGGGGATTGCCAATGGTGACTGGAATGGAGAAGACAGCCAGCTCAGCTTAGCTCTACTTCTGTTCTGTTTTAAAAGGCAATGGCCTCGACATATTAAGATATTATCATCGAACTCTACTTCTGTTCTTGTTTCCCTGTTTAGGAAACATGTAAAGTAATTATTGCTACGACTTGCTGGTGGATCTGCCGCTCCACAGAATGGAAGGAGCCGTAGCCATAGGCCTGTGTCTTATTTCTGCCAGAGAAGAAAAGGCGAAAAGAAAATTCCTCCTGTTTAGAACCAAAGTGTGCCTGAAACTGCTATTTTTGTGTCCACTTCAGATATGGCCAGTGTAGAAACCGTTTTGCATGGCAAGCGTGGAATTTACAAGCTATTGCCTTCACCCGAATAGGGAGCCCTGTCATTATCGCCGCATCTGGACCGAAAGATGCACCAAATACAGCTATAATGACCGGGCATTCTATTCAGGTGAAGACGGTAGGCCTACCACCACCTAAACCAGAGCCTGATGACCTACGAGAGAAGCCTCTGAAACAAAGCGCTGATAGACCCATCAGAATTACAAACGGTCGTATGAAAGGCCAGTATGGCAAACAAGAAAGGCTTCAATCATGAATTGGAATGCAAAGAATATACCGTGGGCAGTACCTGGCTTCGGCTTCAGGAACCAAAACCCACCAGGCTGGAAAATGGGTCCAGCATCCCATTTGGGCACCGATCGTGGACTACGATTCAAAATAATGCTCAACATTCCGTCAAACTAGGTCTAGACTCTAGATACAATAGTTATGGAACCAGTACCTGTGGCTACAGGGACTGTCAGAGATTGCACAGGCGTAGTACTCAACCTTCCCTTTGCTCAGTGACAGTACGACGGAGTAAGTTGGCACTTCTTTGCGATGCTTTTCCGAGATCCTGTGCAATGCTGCACTGTGTCAATGCTCAAGCTACACTGAGATAGAGCACATCTTTGCACTACGCCGTCGCCCAAGGCTACTCGGGAACTAGATCACGGACATCGGTGCTGTAGACTACAGTGGACTGATTAGGCTAAATTGATCTTCACTTGCCTACAGGAGTGCTCTGGACTGACAGGACTCGTACAAGGGGGAACTCGACTCTGCTGACGTGGCGGTCTTTGGTACTCCTGTTGTTGCCTTTGGATATGATTGTGCCTTTCTATCACCAGCGACGGTGCACGTACAATGCCGTAGATCATTGTTGCGAAGGAGGCAGGAGGTTTGTTGAGACCTAGCATTATTTTCAAGGCGAAGGGCATATTTAAATCCTTAGAGGATGTGGCACTTGGTTGTTTCCATGTTTTCTGCTGTGCTTGGCGTTGTGTTTCATTGTTTTGTTGTGTCCGACAAGTTTATACATATGCGATCGTGGAGTTTGGAGCTTGTGCTTCGATCACACTTGTTGTATTCATTCTTTTGGTAACTGATTCTGTGAGGCATGTTTCCTCTTTGCTATCTCTTTGAAGTAGTCGATTAGAGTACGGGAGTTTTCGTTCGTTGTATTACGATGCCCGTCATAATAGGGTAGAGTATATAAGGAGATAAAGCTTTTGGTATGGTCTCCTTGCATTGAGTGTTTGTTTTATCGTCTTGGATGTTCAATCCTCCTGATGATGCTACTAGCACCGCTGTCTAGCGGGGTAGCTGAAATGTGTAGAGGAAAGACCACCAGACTGTGGTTAGTCGGTCGGGGATGCTTTTCATCCTCGAGTTTGTAGCGCATTCCAGACAATCTCCGCTGTTGTATTACTACTTGCAGATGTTGCCGTCATTTTTTGAGTTAAAAAGTTTAAAAAAAAAATCCTGTTGTTTAGAAATACCACTTGTGTGCATCTATAGCATGCTGAGCCCCCTACACAGCATCCTTTATGTCCTCATCCAAATAGGGCAAGTGTCCTGCAGCGCTTTGCTGGATAGTGGCACAACTCGCAATTTCGTTAGCCAGTCATTTATCCCACGAGCTGGCCTTGGCCCAGAAATTCGAAGAAACCCACATCCCACTGAGGTCAAGATGGCGGACAGTCGGACACAACAACTTCTTGACCGATTCATTGAAGTCGTACCCGTCTACTTCACGCCTCATGCGTGTGAAGCCATCACATTCGACGTCTTGGACACAGACTTCGACATGATTCTAGGGATGCCTTGGCCTGTGTGCGCGGATGACACGGTCAACTTCCACCGGCGGACGCTTACCGTTCGCGGCGCTTTCCGCACCGAGGTCCCATGCAGCGTAACGTCTCTGTGCACTTTGATCTCGTGCAAAGTCGCAATGGCCAAGAGTTTCTGGGCCACTTGTGCATACGAGCGGACTGAAGAAGTCGGCCTTTGCTTTCTCCACACCATTGCGCCGATTCGGCACCAACGGATGCCTCTTCGGATCCTTGTGTGCTTCGTCCACTCGACGAGTTCACGGATGTTTTCGAACCTCCCAAGGGTGTAGTTCCGGACTGCCCGGTCTTTCATGAGATCCTTCTTGAGGCTGGTGCTGTCCCACCCAAGGTTTGCATCTATCGTATGAGCGAGGAGGAGCTCACTGTTCTACGTGCACAACTCGACGACTTTATCGGAAAGGATCGGATCCACCCTAGCAGCTCACGTTATGGCGCGATGGTTCTCGTCGTTTGGATGAAGAGCAAGGACCTTCGTCTTTGCATTGACTACTGCAAGCTCAACGCGCTAACCGTCAAGAATGTGGGGCCTCTCCCTCGCATCGAGGATCTTCTTGAGTTTTTGGGCAATGCGAAGTTCTTTTTCAAGTTCGACCCCTGACCCCTCGTTTAAGACCACGTCGGGAAGAAAAGGAGGAGGATTGTGACACTGTTCTTTTTAAGTCTGCAGAATCCCCATATTGACACTTTGAGTCATTTTCTATTTCAACCCCTGTTAGGAGTGGGCAGTCAGGCAGGTGGCAACATGAGCAGCAATCCAAAGCAGGCAGCAGTAAAGCAGAGAGCGGGAGGGCTGCACTGAAGGCAGACAACAAAGCAGCAAGCCAGATAACAACGAGGCATGCAGTCCAGCAAGCGGGCGGGCAGGCAGCAAGACAACCTAGCAGGCATCAGAAAGCCAAGCAAGAGGACTGATGAGAGGGGCTAAGGAGGCAAGTAGGCAGGCAGCAATGCCAAGCAGCATGACTGGCAAGGCAATGGAAGACAAAAAGGCCAGAGTGCCAACTAGCAGGGTTGCACCAATGGGGCAATCTGCACATACAGCACGGACCAAAGTTGACTATTATGAAACGGTTTTTCACCTTTGCAGTAACGGATGCAGATCCCAGGGCTCGATCCCTAGACCTCACCTTACCCGTGTACAGTATCAAGTCGACCTCTGTGTGTGTTTGAACCCGTGATCTGTGTTTTGGTAGTTGACTGTTGCTTGTCGTAGGTCTGTGTAGCAGTAGGGGTTCGATCTGTAGATCTGTCGCCTAGGGGTCATAGTTGTGTAGAGGCCGTAGCTGTAGCAACTCTGAAAGGTCAAGGTCGTAGCCGCTACAGTCCTGAAAGGTCAAGGCCGTAGCTGCTACAGTCCCGAAAGGCCAAGTCCACAGACTTCCGGAAGGTCCGGAAGTGGTCTTTCAAGTTTCTTCTCACGTTAAGCAGACCAGAGGAAAGTGGGCAAGTGGTGAGTCCAACTTCGCTTAGTCAGAGGTACCCAGTCCTAGTCTCACCTTGTACAGTCAGCAAGTACCATAAGGGACTGTGTGCACCATGGGCCCGGTGGAAAACAGCAGACCAGTGACTTACAGAAGTATAAATCAAGAGGCAGCGTCCATTAATTCATTCATTCTTGCCTGAGCCATGCGGAAGTGCTGCCCAGGCGTCTTGTGCGAGGTGGTCTGCAGAAGCCCGAGGTTGAAGTGGGCTGACGAGAGAGATAGTTCGTCCATAGCCAGTAGCAGTAGAGCGGCCATAGCCGCTGTAGCTTAGAGATAGAGCTCAGTGTGTGTGTGTGTTCTTTGTACAGAGTTGTGAGCGTGGGATATCCAGGGTGATCCAGAGACAAGTGCGTGCGAACAGTGTGTGGACAAAGGATGTGTGAGCGCTCAGGCGCCATAGCCAGTTGGAAGCGAGTTGTAACTAAACTGTGTTTTCGACTTGAGCATCCCTGAGCTTTGTGTGGGCGCACAGCGCCAGCGTAGATTGCCACCTGTTTGCATGTATGTGTAGTGAAGAAGAAAGCGGGTCTGATTGCAATCATGGACTCACACGGGAAATAGAACTCTACAAAGTTTAGGTTTGTGCCACTATCCAAAGTGGGGGAGTCACTCTGATGAAATACTGCCACCACCAGGGATCACACAGGCATACTGAACATAGCAGCCTCCCTGACAGTGTTGCAGGCACTTCCAGCAAATAGTGGCCGGCCGTTCGGCACATCTCAAAAGTGCTGCACTTGGACACTCAAGAGAACACATGAAAAGACCACACTGCACTAAAAGTTGAAAACAACAAAGAAAATACTCAAAAGAAGAGGAAGAAAAGAAGTAGATAATATGATCGTGGGGGGGCGTGTGTGTTGTACAGAGAAATAGATAATATCATCGTGTATGTTTGTGTGTGTGCCTGTTATACAGAATCACGTACTATCAACCCAGAAGTCACAAGCCATAAAGACACGGAGTGCAAGGGTGGCCATTTTTGTGTGCTTGACGTGTGCCTTTTTGCATAAAACCCTTTGTTTTGCCCTAAAACCTAAATATTTGGCCCTAAAGGAGCGTAAACCTTAATTTTTTTACTCCATTGGGCCCCCGTGTCCAATTTTTCGATCATGCGCATGATCCTGCAAGTCCAGATATATATAGAATCTGAATTAGGATTTATGTACCCGATTGTGGTTTTAAATTTCTTTTTCTAAATCCACAAAGGATGATGCTGAGCTTTCTGTCATGGCCTGGCACAACATCTATCTGAGCTTCCCTCTCTTATTTTTCTTGCCCTCAAGGAAGCAGCTGTGGTCCCCCAATTCTATGTACGAAGGAAGATACTGGTGCAATTTTTTCTCCACCATCATGATGTTGTTTC